ATTGTTATTGGTCGACCCACATTGACCGAAATCCGAGCTGTGGTTTCCCAATCTCACCTCTGCATGAAGTTCCCCACCCCTATGGGAATAGCAACACTGCGAGGAAATCAGGAGGTGGCCAGACACTGTTATATCACCTCGGTAACACAACCAACGAAGGGCAAAGATAAGACACCAGAGGTCATTCCCCAACAAATTCCCGATAATCAGCAGGTAATGGGTGTAGAGATCGTTGATAATCGACCGGATGATGAAACCAGAGCTGCTCCGGTTGAAGATGTTGAAGAAGTGCTCGTTGATGACAGAGATCCGAGCCAAAAAACGCAGATCGGAACTAGATTGAACCCGGAAGAGAGAGCAGAACTGATAGCTTTTCTCCGAGCTAACAATGATGTATTTGCATGGACTTCGGCGGATATGCCAGGAATTCCAGCTTCAGTATGTCAACATAAGCTCAGTACCAATCCGTTGAAAAAACCAGTGGCTCAGAAGCGGCGTCTCTTCAGGGGGGAGAGGCTTCAGGCTGTCAAAGAAGAGGTGGAGAAGCTCCTACAGGCTGGTTTTGTCAGGAAAGTTGATTATTGCGAATGGGTGGCTAACCCAGTCATGGTGAAGAAGGCAAACGGTAAATGGCGAATGTGTATCGATTATACAAATCTTAACAATGCCTGCCCCAAGGATTGCTATCCGATGCCGAGCATTGACAAATTAGTTGAAGCGGCTTCAGGCAACGAGAGTTTAAGCCTCTTGGATGCATATTCTGGGTATCACCAGGTGCCGATGGCTCCCGAAGACGAAGAGAAGACCTCGTTCTATGCTGGCGATGAAATTTATTGCTATGTCATGATGCCATTCGGCTTAAAGAACGCAGGTGCTACTTATCAGAAAATGGTAACCATAGTCTTCCGAGCTCAGATCGGCAAGAATCTGGAGGTGTATGTGGATGACATTGTGGTAAAGAGTCTGAAGGCAGAAAACCATTTAGCCGACCTCGACGAAACCTTTAACAACCTCAGAAAGAACCAGGTGCGGTTAAACCCAGCCAAGTGCATCTTCGGAGTGGAGTCTGGAAAGTTTCTAGGTTTCATGGTGTCCCGAAG